ATAATCTATGTACCAAGTTTGAATGAAAACTGGCAAAGCATGTCCAAAATACAACATTTTCAAAAAACAAGATGGCTGCCAGTCGGCCATTTTAAATCGAATCGCTAAACCACTGCATGTGCATATGTCCCACATAAAGTACTAGGCACATGCAAAGAATGAACGGAATCGGTCCAAGGGATTCTGAGATATGACTCCGGACGGACGCACAGACGCACAGACGCACGGACGGACGGACACACGGACGGACGGAGACCGAATTATAAGTCCCCGTTTTCGGACTTCGTCCGAACGGGGACTAAAAACTATTAATTGATTTGCGCGTACGTATACTTTATAAGTAGTTGATTGAACCCTAAACTCAACCCTAAACTCGATCTATATGTTCACTAGTTGATGTAACACAGTTACCAGTGTACGTAACATTCACGTATTCGAATTTCATGTAAACAAACGATGTATTCGTACGTGCTGTATACGTCGAAAAGTTGAACTACTAGTATTTTAAATAATTTCCATCAGTTACGTTGTTTTGAAATAACCGGATCTAATCTTTTTAGCGGAATTTACGCAGGAAGATAATTATGGTTTTGTTATATACAATTATAGTTATATAATAACCATTTTGGTACACAGTGCTCAGAGACACATACACAATTTGCCACCTGTTAGTGAGTTTTATAGAGTTGTAAAAGCAATAAGGTGAATATTCTTACCGTAACCGGTGATATAATACAGGTATATCCTGGATTTCTCTTGCGCAAATACTAGAACCAGCATAATATACAGCTGTACGCCCTCCAAGCACATCCATGCAAACGCCGCAAGGAAAAAATAGTGCATAAGACCAGCAAACACTGCACACAAGGTCTGTGGGTTTAAAATTATACAGTTTAGTTCTACAAAAGAGGTAATGTGGTGAATTTTAGTGTTTTGACCATTCTATATTGCATCTTGATAAATACATTAGGATGTAATTGTACTTGAAATAAAACCCTTATTTTGTCAGAACACATAGCAATACTCGTTCGACGAAACAAAGAAAAACTCGAATGCGCACGCACATTTTCAATATTTCATTGAACGAATACAGCTGTTTACAGCAAAAACATGATTGTTAATTTTACGTTAAACACAACGCTAGCGTTACTATCAAATGAAGATTCAATATAAAAAATATATATATTTTTAAATGAGCTCCAAAATACTCAAGGTTACTAATATAATGATTGCTTCTTTAAAAAAAACACTCGTATCGGGGTAACATAGTGAAATTTACAAAACAAAACCCCTGTGTAATCCAGACGTTATGCGCCAATGTCATGCTCGAATTAACTAAATTCCATGGCCTGCAAAACGCTTTTTAGCGATTTTTGAGGCTCATATATTCATAATTTCAGCCATAAATACTGAAATTGTAAACCCCATTTGGGAAACTTTTGAAGACTAAGGGGAAACATTCCAGTCACCCCGGCTCAATGTGGCGGCACATATGTAGACAGCTTCCTAATGGAAGTCCACTTGGTAATGTCGCTATGGAGATATTTTAAATACAAACGAAAGTTTGACGACCTATCGTTGTTTTGCCATTCTTGAAAGAATAAAATGACATCAAATCGTCACGAGGAATAAGTTATATGAAGTTGTTTCAACAATAAGCATTATAAAATCGGTGATAACCGAATGAGTGAAATAAAATTGTTGAAAATTAAAAGCAAAAATATTCGAATACAAAATTATTACAAACAATAATAATCATTGTTCTAAAAAATAAATAATATACATTTGATAGAAAAATAAGTGTTATAAAACAGTTTCAAAGAACAAGTGATATACAACTGTCAGAACGAGTGTTATGATATTTATTGTTACCACAATAAGTGATATAAATTATCACGAAGAATATGTGATATAGCATTGTTACACAGAATGCGCGATATAACGGTGTAACAAGAAAAATGAGATACAAAATCGATTATATATCATATAATTACACAATTAATTATTACCTGATTCTGAGTTCTGTCAATACCAACAAGAAACGTTACTTCCGCGACAAGTAAACACAGACACAGATTTCGGTGAATAGTATTTCGCACGCACCACAGTGGTCTGCAATCGACACAAATATAATAAAAATAAGTATTATTGAGAGACATCTAAACAAAGAGATATAGATGCTTGTTTGTAAAAATCGGCACGTTGTGACCTTCTGACGCATTTTACAGACAAATTACGCGACTGCGCGATCGAATTGCCATAAACATGAGTCACGACGTGCGACTTCGTGGGGACAAGCTTTGGGCTCAGTTATGGGCGTAGTTTCAATCATGACAAGTTTCAACTTTCAACCAATAGATAATTTCGTATGAATTACCATAAACGCACCGTTTCCCCTTTTCAACGCTTACATCGTATCTATCGGCGTCTCTGTGGTCTGGACAAACTCTTCATAACATGCCTGCTGCGAAATTAATAAATTGGAAGCAGAATTCCAAATTTACGGACTAAACACTTTGCGTTCAATTCACTGTCATTAAATTGGTATTTTCAGGGGGCATTAATTCTAAAAGTCGTTGTTTTGTTGTAATAAATAAAACAGCAAAATATTGGTGTTTTAGAAAACCTGTGCACCTTTTTAACACTTTTTTTGCCCTAATCGTCGTAAATGCACTATACAATATAATAAACACATGGTCGCCATATGCCGCAGATTCTAAAGCCAGCTTGTGTTTTTCTCGCTAAACAAATACTTCTTGATTTGAGAAAACGAGTCTCTGTAAATCATGCATTGTCCCCCTGTGAGATTCATATGTCAATTTTGCGTCTTACCTAAACGAAGTGAACACTATTATGCAAATGAAGAGGCACACGATGGAAATAATGCATCCAATGTAAGTAATGACACTCAGGGCGAGAGTGTGGTCGTCTGAGAGCTGTGGATAAAGTAATTTGTAATATCGTAATTGACAATGTAGATAGAAAATGTATAGATAAAAACTGATAAAAAAAAAACTTACAGAAAAATGATAAGCAGTTATCATGTATAAAGTAATAAAAGGATTGCCCCCAGACTATGTACAACAAGAAAGTAAAGGATGAAAAACATATTAATATATTTAACGTCTTGGTTTGTCTAACAGTTTATGGTTATTTCATGTGGCAAAGGGATGAATATTAATGATGAAATATGGACGGAACCATTCAATTTTTAATACTGTTGTTTTATAATATACACCAATAAATAAATTCGTTCGATGACACAATGCAAATTTCTAATACGCATGCGCACTGGCTATTTGGTATGTAACATTTACTGTACACGCGTATAAGTTTTTTTTTTTATTTTTCATCTCACGGCTACTCTTGTGTGTCTTGCAAGGGCAACATTTTTAATTTGTGAAAATTATCAATATCTACATTATGGAGTATCAAACAACATTATTAAAATTTATGTTTTTTGTCTACTGTAGAATACTTTATTTTCGCTATTTTCGCTGATGGGAGTATTCCGTGAAAATAAAATCCAGCGAAAATATTTTTTTTGCATATATTTCACATTAAACTCATCAAAAATTAGTGAAAATGAATTTCATACAAAACGCTCAAAAGCGAAAATTAATTCCAGCGAAAATAAACTATTCCACAGTATATTTCATATATAACTCTATGTAATATTATGTTATGTAAACGCACTTTTAATTCACATCTTTAATTCAGCGGCTAAATAAATAATGATTATTAACGCCTAATGAGTACACTGTACGTGTGTAGTGACACTTGTTTTAGACAATTCTGTATAGATACAATGTATTCACATACTAGTATACATTATCATAGTATACGCCACTGCGGACATATAAGCGTAATAGTAAACTGTTTTTGTTTGAATTGTTTATTTAAGACACACCGTGAGACATCATCTCATATCAATTTTGATCGCGGAATTTTATCAGGAACTGTGTTGACAATTTTCACTGTGATATTGTGCAAACGATTCCGTTCATAATGAGCATTTTATACTCGTGGGACATTAAATTAATCACAACATCTCAAAGAGGGTCTCCACCATGCACATATGCATTTGGCGCATAGGTTAATGCATTTGACGAACCCTATCGAGATACAGACAATAATTACCAGTCGCAACCGAACGCAACGTAATGTCATGATAATCCTGGGAACTCATCAAATTTACGCATCAAACTCACGCACCGATAAGGGCCCACATTAGATCATCATACCATCCCACGAGGGACGGCTAAATTGAAACTGATGATATGTCATACATATAAAGTGCCGCCTGGTAGAGCGTAAAACTGAGAAAGTGTATTAAGGTCAGCGATCTAGGTAACGTGTCCAATAAAACAATACTGACACAGAGTGAGAGTAATAGCTGGGCCCAAAGGGCATTTTTTTTCCAGTAAACGTAACTTTTAATGTTGAAACTGTTAAATCAGAGATTAAGTGTGCGTCATTGACGTATACGAATTTGTTACGGGGATTAACATTACTTCCAACCAATATGCTATTCGCGGATACCAGAGTAAAGGGAAATAATTTGCCTAGTACGTCGTCAAATCTTCCATTTTATTTCATCCTCGTACGTAGCTACTCGCGTCATAGTCACTAAAATATATGACAGGTACGCCACGTTGTTCGAGATTACAAATGTATATTTATCATGAACCATCTGTTTTACCACGTCATTATTTAAGAATTTCTTCTTATAGTAGTTATATTTGTAGTAGATTTTAAAAAAATTGAACATGATTTAGATTGTTTAGTCAGTTTTACTATTCACTTCATTTTTTATACATTCATTTATCATTTCTGTGATTAAATATGTATATACTGTTACTTTGTCAGGCCTATAGTAAATTGTCTTGCCTGCTGATATTTATGTAATATTTGATTTGGTCGAGTGGGACTCAGTGGCACTTTTATTTTAATTTACCTAGATAACTCTCGCCACTATGAATTCTAATCTGCGCAACACTCAAAGTTGTCTTCTGAATGTGTGTGCATCGCATTGTGTTAAATCATGCTATCAGCTGTTTTGTTAGCATTGACTATCGTCCTTAAACATACAAGATAATATACATAGATATTCCCGTGTGTTATACCTTTGTACCGTGTACATCCATCAACACAGCAAAGTTGGTGAGGTGATTGCAGGCACACACCGTCGTAGTTGCGTTGCTCGTCACCACATTGCATCCATAGTCAGACCATGCACCTTTCATATTGCTGTGAAGAGACAACATGTACCGTCAAATAATTAAGTTTTATTTTCAAGTAATTTCACTACACGCTATGTATAATAGACATAGCTTTGTTTTAAATACGATATCCATGCACACTCTCTTTCGATTAGCGTCCATATGTATGTAGTGCTGTATTTGAACTAAGCCCCAGCTGGTCATTTTTGTTTTATTTAAATATCTCGTAAATACATTTAATGTCCATCCGTTCGTACTTACGTATTATTTGACTGTTATGTAAAAATAAAGTATTGACACTCATTCGTTGACATTTGCAATCAAACTTACCTTTCTGAATAGTTCCAAAATGCACATATTGGATTTTCAACACCGTCAGTCTGTAAAAAAAATATTGTTTAATTTTCCACGTGCTTGTTTCTTCTAACGAGACATAATTGTGAGCTTCAGAAACAATTTTTTTAGTTGATGATAAATCATATTCTAATGTATTCAAGAACATACTGTATCAAGCAACAATATTAAACAAAATGTTTTCACCCATATTGCATCTTTATTCGAACTATTACAGTTATCATAGAAGCGTGAATATCATGTCTAAACGGGACGTTTTGGAAATTTACGCGAATTGTGGAAAATATCTATATTTCAATTGAGTCTGTTCGGCTGTTGATTCTTTGCTGATTATTGCTTTGCTGACTAATGCATATTCATGCATCAGTGTATGTATACAGTTTTAATGTTTTTACAGGCACAGGATTTAAATAAAATCTTATGAGAATGAATGAATACGAATGTGCAAGTGTACCTTCAAGTGATCTAGTATGAAAATGACATTGCTGTCCATTTCCGTATATTTCCCCCCGTTCACAGATGCCGCGATCACAACGGAGTTTGCTATATAGTCGGATTCCACGCTTCCATCAACGGACGTATTCGCCGATTTCAGTAGGTTACCAATATTCTGGTATGCCAGGAATGCCACCTTGACCGGGTCTACCAGAAAGAAATGAATGAAATATGCAACTTTTCTGCCAATGAGCTTGCCATCAATATGAACGACGTTTGCGTGCTAGTCAGATCACAACTCAAAATGTTTGTTACTTTGATATATAGTGCAAAGAAACTTCGACATGCGCATCAATTTTCATTCAGACGTTTTTACCTGTGTTGTTATTAAATGTTGGCTCCAAAATAAAACTCGGTAGTGTGATTCCCCCTTTTGCGGTTGCATTTCCAGATGAAACTGCGCCACCTACTTCAAATGAGAGCGGTCTCACTGGCCCTTCCGGTCCTGTCTTTTCAATTCGTATTGCTTCCATGACTGCGAATAGAAAAATATTCAAATAAAGGTCATCAGAAAGTTACCAAGTTCATGTTAATTGGTGATTAAAATCTTATAAATCCACGTTTTCATATTATTTGACGTCTGCGCAATCTGTATTCGCGTACGTACACCAGTTCCCTTGGAAACAGCGATAACACGTTTCAAAGATTAAAATCCCCGATACCATCGGCACAAAAGATAAAAGAGCGAACACGGATCGATAGTACGGAAGGTGAGCTCACCGATGTTTTCCTTGGTAATTCGCATCTCTTCCGCTCCCGTCATCTGATTAGCCAGCATGTGTGCGCTTTTCTCCATGCTGTCAACTAGAGAGGTCGCCGAGACAGAGGCGTAATCCTATTTAGAAAGGAAGATAACGACTAAGGTGAATCTTCGTTATCATTATTCGAAGCCTTTCAGTGAAAAAAAACGGCGGATTACTATACACTGGGCAGATAAAACAGATTTATATTAGGCTTACCGAAGACATTTTGTTCCACTGCTTGATATTCTGTGAATTCAGTAAATTACTGCCAACGGCGACAATTTCCTGCGCACGAAGAAGAAAATGATATATTTTGTATAGTAGGCCTGAATATGTCGCGTTGGAGATGTGAAAACTCTCAAGGCAGAATGAGAACTAAGATGGAAAACCCCACAAGCACATATGTGCTAGAAGTTCCGATAGACAACACCTTCTAGGCATATAGCAGTATACTAGTATTACATAACCCGAATTGGGAAAGACATAACAATACTTAATATTAATAATTGGTAATAGATATGCGCAAATTTCCGACATAACAAAAAACTGGCCAGAAATGTACTCTAAATCATAATTTAAACTGAAATCATTGTTTTGCATCACACGTGTTCATATTATTTGTATGAAGATTACATTTCACAAATACGCATTCGAACAACCATCGAGAGCCACTGTTCTCTAGCATTGTTGTTGTAGGAGGAACTTATGCAAGTCTAAAATCACGGATATGCTACTCTCGTAACAATTACATTTCTTTAAATACAATTTTGTATATTTCACCTTGATTCACTGCCCGTATGTAACGAGGAATTAGGAAATCAGGGATGCAACTTTGCGATTATTACTCGCTGCTAATTTACAAGCGTCTGGGACAATCACCTAACATTCTCATTATACAGGGCAGCTGTTTGTTTGTAAGCCAAAGTTATACTGTTTTTGTATTTCACAAACCTACACATATATAAGCATGCAAATATATTACGCTAAGAAATGTTCTATTTCGTAAAGTAATAGTCCAACTGGTGCTACTATGTCCAAACCAATGTCTGTGTGAGTTACTTCGATAACCACGTATATCCATAGTACGTTCTATTTTCACCAACCTCGGTAAAATTCTTGGTTACACTCTCTTTTTCTTCATCATTCAAACCGATCAACTGTATGCTCTGTAGTTGTAGAAGATCATCCACAATCACAACGGTCTCCTCGATATCTCTAGTCGTCATAAACTCTTCTGTAGTTGTCTCCTCTTGCAGGGCCGTGGCTATATCGGTGGCAGGGGCTCTACTTTCAATCTGGTGGTATGCGAAAAGACGATTAGTCATCATTATCATGCATGTGATACCGTCCACTAATCTTGGGGAAAGATTATCGTATGTACTCGATCGATTAATTAAATCTGTCCGAATGTTTCGGAATTATAAAATGGAACTACAAATACATTATACATTCGCTATGTCTGTAGTATGTTGACATTGAGTTCTGTATCGATTCAAATCCTATTGTGATTCCGTTTCTAATTAACACACACACATTCTGTTTGTAACTTTGCTTACATCATTGCTAAAGGAAAGTCATGAACAAGTGTCCAATCTCTAACCACAGAATCTCTGTGTTTGTCAGTGCATGTTTTTTTCCAATATAATCTGGATATATACCAGAAATTATATTGCAAATGATGCAGTTTGAATTTTCTTGAAATGTTCTTATCAAATTAACAAGTTTCTGAAACATGATGAGGAAATGTATTTATGTAACACATAGTTGATAATCGTAGTTCTTGGTAATTATTCATTACATCAATTTGTTTCAGCAAATGCCATTTCATTCGTAATATTATGTTGGTACCAATTATAATTTCCAGCTACCACCTATTTATGGGTACCAGAATTCATTATTCATTGAATTCATTTTCAATAACTAAACGAAGGTAGTTATGAAAAAAACAGTTTTAGTAAATTGATAGGACATAGCTTTTGAAAATAATTTGTATGTTTATTTCACACGGTTCATGGAGTCACACTACGGGAAATACCGTAATAAAAGTGCACATAAACGACCCTTAAAAACAAAATAGACGAACAGCAAGAGTTCAATAAAAGCGCCAAGAAAAGTCATTAAAAACAATGGGACGCCGATCATTTCAGGTCATCAACAATTCTCGATTTAAAAGAATTAATCTTGAAGAGTATTTATTACATATACCATAGGTAGCACTTTAAGTCTTTTCCGATGAAGCCACCCTATGACGTAAATGGGAAACACAAAAGCCGTTCAAAGTGTTGGTATCGTTTTCATCTCTAGTCGCACATAATCAATAAAAATTATGCTTTGAAAGTTACTATTATATTGTAGACGACAACCGACTACACAAGCAAATTTTTTTTTGCGATTTGAAAGACATTGCCTTTACTCGTTAATTTGACGTCACGGATACAATCACATCATTGGGAGAACTCAACCGTACGGAAATTTGTAATTGTTAAATTGATCTTACCATCTCATTGGCTCGATTCACCCATGCAGATATGCATCGAGAGTAATCCGGTCCTTCGCTATCCCAGCCAACCGGGTCGTCTTGACAAGTCCAATATACTATACCTGCAGTGGGTAACAATGACTTGTAATATTCACAATAATATAATATAATATTACAATTTGTATGAACGGTTTCGAAGAGCGGGGAATTACTAGTGAGCGCATGCTTCTTAAAAGCCATGGAAGAGAGATTCTTCAATGTCTAAACTAGGAATCAAAATATGTTAAAGCTTCATACTGTGACGTAGGACTGAACGCCGTTATGGTACGAGCTATACTATATACACACGACACTTTGCGAGATGTTTCACATTTATTCCAATAACTACAGATGATTACTGGCATTTTGAACGGAAATATCACGGCTAAGTGTAGGACAACTTAGCTAGACTACAGAAGAAAAATTACGGAAAAGTAATCTACCTACAAAAAACACATAATTAAATAAAACAAATCAGAAAATCTGGAAATAAAATTAGAGCGCTAAGCTAAACTGAACATTTGCACAGTTTTGCTACTAGTCCATAGTCTACAATGGTCACCTTCTATCCAGTATAATCGGAGTCGGATACAGACGCTTTACCGAACGCCCGTTGTGATTCCAAAATGCATTCGCACCATTTACAGCTAATCCACAACTCCCCAATAAACAATCTGATTATCTGTACCTTCTTTCCCTTCTGGACAAAGTGCTGCCGCAGTCTGCCCTTCCCTGGTACGGGGCCATGTTGTTTCACCGAGAGAGACTGATTCGCAGTATTCCGGTACTTCGTTCACTGGAATACCTACAGGATCCGGATACCAATTGACATTTGGAGCTGAAAAAACAAAGTCAATTGTTGTACTTACATGCATCCATCTCTTCCGATAACGAGGTGTGATTAAAAATAGAACTGACGTCACAGTGGAAATATATACCGCATGTGGACAATGTGACAATGTTAATGTCGCAACAGTTAAAAATATTTAGTTTTTGTTTACTTATTCGGTTATCCGAATCGAAACGAACGAGTTTATGCATAATTAATGACATGATGTAATGTGACGTTAATTGTGAACTACGCTTTTTTAAAAAATACGCAATTAATAAGTTTGACAGTCAGCAAACCCAGGACAAAAAGTATGCAGGTTTCGCAAGTTAATTAAATGGCACACCTATCCGCGAGATTACTGCCAAGAGGAAAATACAAGTCAAAGTAATGCAATAAAAATGGCAGTGATTATTTAGGAACATCGACATTTTTTTTTGGATTTTCGAATTGTTCAATTAAACCGGGAGGGTCGTCACCTGCGCGTGCGCGGGAATTGAGTCCCAAGCGACGATAACAAACGCTAAAACGCAAAGGCTCATGGGTAGACGCTTGTTTGTAAATAATTACACGCTATGACCATCTGCAGGGTACGACTCCCCCGCTTTAAGTATATGCGGAGCTTCAAATGACGTATGGAAGGCGCATGATAATACGGAGAATTGTTATACCTTGTGCAACGCATCGATAACGTACTTCTAAGTATTTGTACGCTGCCGTACACGGGTCGCCAAAATAATGATTGTCGGCAGCCAGGCTACAAGTCGTCTTACCGTTGCACCTACAAACAGACCACATGGAACAGCTGTTAACACCTATTATTATAGCTCTCTCACTGTAACGCCACAAGTTACAGCGTGCCGCAATTTTGCGGTATTGTAATGGGTATTTCCATCCTACCATATTAGGAAATGCGAATTCCAAATATGGAATGATTATGCGCGTAGGCGTCTTGTAATGATAAAAACAAACATGGCAGCCCCCAGAGTTTGACCGGGCCCCACACAAAGAAGTTCTCTCAATCTGTTCTAAACTTTTTGTATTTCACCATTCCCATGATGTATCCTTGGGAAGAAAAGATGTATAATAATAAGGTTATTAC